TAAAACTCGAAAATTATCTACAATGCTCATCAAAATTTGTACATACATTGCAATATTTGTATTAATATTAGATCTAGAGTAATTTTTTGATATGTTATTCCAATCTATTGGTACGTCTTCCAAAAAACGTATATTTAAAATACTGAGGGCAATATCTGTCCGAATGCCGACTGAAACTTTCTAACTTGTTTTAATAGATTTCGATCCATTTCGTTTTCGTTCTATCCAAACTACAATCCAATGAAGAATTTTAAGGGAAATCCTCTTTAAGGCTTTATGTCATCAGTAATTTTTTGACAGTAAATTTTCACGAAATTCAGAATTCAAACCTAAAGTTGCCTTCAATAAATTACCAATATTTTCTGCCTAATGTGTCCCCTTTAACTGGGGAATAATGTACACGAAATACCATTAGCAATCAAGCAAATTTCTGGACAAAAACTAAGCATGTACCTACTTAGCTATATGTTCCTCCATTACATTTACTATATGCTTCGCCATTAAGTTAATAAGAAGTAGTTGTCGTCACGCGTTAGTTTTTAGCGGATTTCAACTTGTTTATCACGTTCACGTACCCACTTCGCACCATCTAGTACATAGTACCCTAGCAAAGTAATGTGTTGGGACAAGGTTTTTTTGCTTCTTTTTGGTAGCCTGGAGAAAAAAAAGCTTTTAAACCAAACCAAACTGCAAACACAAGTCCATATGAGCAAGCAGGGGCTGGAGAAGTATGAAGAAAACCATCCAACCCAGAGTAATGGTGGAAGTACCGAAAAAAGTCTCTCTAAGCGCGTACACAACGAACCAATGCCCAAGTCCACAAATGTTATGTGTGACGGATGATGATGACGACGATGAGTGGCATGGAAAAATTCCTCAATATACCTAGCTACATAAGTATATAACCAAAAATATACAGAAAGCGAGAGAGAGACCGTGTTGGTGACCATTTGTATCTCTTGGAGAATATGTTGTGTACAGAAATGCTATAAACCTCATCCAAACCTCCACCAAAATCCATAGAAGATGGCTGAGGGAGCGAACGATACACATACTCTGTGTCCAATAATGTGCCACCACCACTTCCAGTAGTAACCCACCCAACGGAGAAGAAGAAAAAAACATAACGCCCACCCATTGCCCAAAATGTGGCACCCAACCAAATACTCACTCGCAGAGATTGGGAGAGACGGAGAGAGTTAGCTTTAGCCGGCTAAGGATTTACTTGAGATAGTCTGCTTTGCTCCAGTGGTACCATGAAATTTGGCAACCCCGTGCTATAATGCGTAAATCTTGTGCTCTCTAAAGTGCGTAGAGAGCGGGGAGCCCTGAATGCCGAATTATGGCATAGATTTTTGCCCTCGCAGCTGAAAGTAGTGGACGAGGGAGCTATGCGAACGCATATGAAATCGATTTATGTTCGTGAGCTGCTCCACTAGTTGGCAGAGTTAGGCAGCAATCACACACAACCAGTCTGGCTGTTGCCAGGAATGGGATGGCATGATTTGTAATTTCTCATGTGGTTTCTTTCTCTCTCAATGATGATTGGCTGGGCTGGGCATCAAACCATGGTATCATGCTGCGCAAAATCCAACCCATTTTACACATACCATTACAGGTTCGAAATGATTTATGGCTGTGAGCACCAGAAACAACCACAACTTACAGCAACAACAATTGGGAGAGCAACATAAACAGACTACTGCCATCTCTTTTTCTCTTGTGTGTGTTTAAGGCAGCAAGAGATTGATTGGTGTAATAAGGTATAGTGTTTCGTTGCCTCTTCTGTGTATGAACGTGTGTGTTGCGTGTGTGCGGCGAGCCAAGCGACCGAGTCAAACACACAACCCCGCTGTGGACTTTCAAGCACCTCGAACAGGTTTCAAGCCTGGCCAGTATCAACAGAAAGGTGCTCTATCTAGTACAGTGTGGAGGTATTTTTGTATCGTGTCGTTTAACGAAACGCCGTTTTCTTTATTGGTTTTTATTATTGAACGTGAAGTTCCGTGTTCGTTTTGAAAGTTGAATTTGAAGCGGATTTGAAAATTGAGAAAAAAATCTTGAATTGAGAGAATCTTGAAAAAGAAAAATATTAATTTTGATATATCTTCCCAAGTTCGTTTGAAGGGAGAACATTTGTGCCCTTTACAACAATTTGAAGGTGTTGCAACAAACAACCTACAGACCAGCCAACATTGTTGGTTGGCCGTAAGATCCAACCCAACGCGTTCTAAGCGCTCGCTCGCTCGTTCGCCCGCCAGCTGTGTATCTGTGTGTGTGTGCGTACTGCTCTGGCCTTTGGTTGTGTAGTTCCCACAACCTTGTCACACACCAAAAAGGTTCTAGTTGCGTGTCGCCTGCTCGCTGCCTGCCTGCCAGCCAACTCGTTTGTTCGCTCGTTTACAAGACTGCACCAGCTTTCGAACATTGTTGTTATCTCTCCCCGTCGTTGTCGTCGTTACCGCTGCCGTTGTTTGGTTGGTGCGCTGTCGTAAGTGCGTGTGTGTAGTTGTAAGCCGAATCGGTGTGCGTGTCGTGGCTGCTGTGTGTGAGTTTGAATTGAACTACGGAGTTTTCCTTCACGGGATTTACGGGAAATCACGTTTTGAAAAGATCATTTGCGTTTTGTAATTCGGCGATTCATGTCGTACAGCGGCGCGTCGCTCACTTATGTGTCGTAGAGAATAGCCAACAAAAAAAAAAAAAAAGATAAACACTTTTGAAACAAAGAGCAAAAGAACTTATCTATCAAAAAACAAGAAAGGAAAATAAAAAAACAACACACAAAAAATATAAAATTATTATTATTGTGTAACAAACAAAAGATAAGCACAACTAAGTGGTAGAATAACAAGCAAAAGAAACAAACAAAGAGAAAAGTGCAAAATAATAACGAAACAATAATCGCAAGATTTGTTTTCATTCAAAAATAATAAAAAAAAGAAGCAATGAAATAAAATAAATTTTGTGAAACATAAACACAAAGAAAAAACGGAAAACAAGCATCAAAGTGTGGAAAAAAAAAATACTCAAGACAAGGAAGGAATAAGTACCCAAAAAAATAAGGAAAACAATATCTGGAAGTGAAAAATAAAATAAATAAAAAATATTTTTTTCGAACACCATGACCACTTGTGAATAACTGAAAGAAACCCGAATATTTTTTTAATTTCAAAATCAAGATTCCAAAACTTAGAAACTCAACACAATACAGTGCCAAAACACCCACCCCCACCACCAGACTTCCTTGAATTCCATCACTCAATAAAAAAACCAGCAAAAATTCAATTAAAACGAACTGCAACTCCCCCCTCACTATGCTAACCATGGAATCCGACATGAAAGGTGGCATTCTACATGCCACAATGCCGCCACATCATGCCTCAGCTGCGCTACATGGCCATGCCGCCTCACCGTACAGCGCCTTGGGACCGCTCATGAATCTGGGCCAGTCGCATCTGACCCAATCGCATCTTAGCCATCATCATCAACATCACATGTCCTCACATCTGGCCAGCCAGGCGGGCAGTACACCGAACGGCACCACAAGTGTCCTCAGCTCTCTGCAGAACAGCATGGCCCAAACCCTCAATGGTAATTCCGGTAATCACTCCGGTTCGCCATTGCACAGCTCCAGTGACTTGAGTCCCACCCAGAGTTCACACACCAGCATTGGCAGTCATCACATGACTTCGCCGGGACAAAATCATCATCATTCACATCATCACTCCGCCGGTGGTATGGGTGGCCAAAGTACTCCCCTAAGTTCAGGTGGCAGTTCTGCTGGCGGAGGTGGTGGCTCCAATGGCGGTGGGCCAATGAACAACAACAATAACCCCTCCAGTGCCAGCAAAGCTGCCCAGAGTGCCGCCGAGCGTGTCAAACGCCCCATGAATGCCTTTATGGTCTGGTCCCGTGGTCAACGCCGTAAAATGGCCTCGGACAATCCCAAAATGCATAACTCAGAAATTTCCAAACGCCTGGGGGCCCAATGGAAAGATTTGTCCGAAAACGAAAAACGTCCATTTATCGATGAAGCCAAACGCCTAAGGGCTGTCCATATGAAGGAACATCCCGATTACAAATATCGTCCCCGCCGCAAGACAAAGACTCTAACTAAAACCAAGGAGAAATATCCCATGGGTGTGGGTGGCCTGTTACAGGCCTCAGAAGGTAATGCCCCCTCTGGACGGGCCAGTTCAGCCAATTCGATCTCATCCGCCGCCCAGCAAGCGGCGGCGGGAGTCAATCGGGACATGTATCCCATGAGTGCTCCAAATGGCTATATGCCCAATGGTTATATGATGCATGATCCCTCCGCTGCGGCCGCCTATCAAAGTCAACACGGTGCCTACATGGGCAACTATCATCGCTACGACATGGGCCAGATGCATCAGGCAGCTGCGGCCGCCAATTACATGAATGCCGGCTCCGGCTATGGCATGTACGGCACAGTGTCCGGCGGTCAAACCTCACCCTATGGCAATGTTCAGCAACCCGGCTCACCCTATGGCTCGGGAAGCGCCCAACCCCAGCCCGGCTCACCATACGGCATCTCCTCCGGCCAACCTGGTTCTCAAGTCTCCTGCCAAAGTCACAGTCCCAGCGATTCCAGCGTCAAATCAGAACCCGTCTCACCCAGTCCGATGCACAGCTCCTCCGCCCAGCAACAACAGCAGCAACAACAACAGAATTCCGCCGCCGCCGCTGCTGCAGCCGCCGCTGTCATAACCAACAACAATAATCATGTCATGAAACGGGAATATCTAAGTGGCCAACAGCCGGAACTGAATCACCTGATGAACATGTACCACCTGTCCGACGGCATGCAAGTATCGGCCGCGGCGGCAGCAGCTGCCGCTGAACATCATCAACGCAATCTGATGCACTATCAGAACAGTTCGCCGGACTTGCAACAACATCAGGCAGCGGCCGCCGCCCATCATCACCACCATCAGCAGTCGATGCGTTCCATGGCTCCATTGGCCCATATGTGAGAAATGGCAACGGCATTTGGAGCTCAACACTCAACAGCATCAGCCACAGCCGCCACGCTGCCCATGGTTTCAAGAAGTGTCTCATCGTCGTCGTCGTCGATAGCTGTTGAGAGTACGGCCTGTGGCTTATCGCTAACCCCTCAGAACAACCAACAACCTCCTGCCCCCACGTTGTCCTCCTCCAATAATTCGTCATCGTCCTCGACGTCCAATTCTGCCTCCTCCGCCAACCACCACCTCAATCAGCGTTTATTGCTCAGCAATCAGCAGCAAGATGAACAGCAGCAACAACAAATGCATTTAGCGGATGATCATCAGCAGCAACAGCAGCTGGAGGATAATCCCTCACCATCATCGCTTATGGGGCAACATCATCAGCAGCACCATCACCACCAGTTGCAGCAATCGGCCGAATTGTTGTCCTCCCATTTGCAGCTGAACTCTTCCAGTTCTTCGGTGGAGGGCAATGGTAATGGTGAGAGTGGTCGGGGATCTTTTGCCTATGGCCAGGGTCGTTTAAGTCCCATTGCCTCGGTGGGCTCGTCGGGCGGAGGTAGCCGTTCATCGGCCCATTCCCTGCCCTCACATTCACCGGCGGCCCTGCATCACCACAACTTGACTGGCTATCAAGTGCAAGCGTCGGCCGACAATGGTTGCGGTAGCGGAGCTACCGTGGTGACCTCAGCCTCCATAATGGGTCGGCTAACAGCCGGCGGGGGCAGTGGCAGTGTGGTTGTGGACAACAATGGTTTCAGCATGTCAGATGCCGGCGCTGGTGGATCCCTGTCCCTGCTGCAGAATCCCCATCACCATCATCATGCGAGCAGTCATCATCATTTGGCCCATTTGCCATATGCATCGCTAGCAACGGCCGCTCATCATCATCATCCGCATCACCACCACTCCCATCCTCATCATCACCATCATCCACATCACCACCATCATCCGCACGATGCAACAGGACTGTTGGATATATCGCCATTGTAAATTATTCCAAACGTAAAATCATCAGCAAAAAAACCTCCTCCCACAGCAACAACAAAAAAAAAACAACTTTAATTTTAAATTAACTTTAAATAAATTTAATTAAACAAAAAACAAAACTTAGTTCTTGACATTAGTTCTAATGTAAAAAAAAACAACAACAAAAACAAAAAACCTCCCCTTACAACAACCAAATTCCCCTTTAAAAATGGAATAGAAAAACAACATTTAAAAATTGTGTATAAAGCAACAAAAAATTATATATTAATTAATATTAGTAATAATACTATAATGAAAAAAATAAATAAATAAATAATTATTAAAACAAAAATACGTACAATATTTAGAAAATTAATTAAATAATTTAAACAACCCCAGAAAACGTCACCAAGTAGAAGCCAGCAAAAAAACAGCGATAGTTAATTCCCTACTCAGCGTTGTTTTTTGGAGGAAAACGAAGAGAAAAATGGCAGAAAAAAATTCACACAAATCTAAAAATCCGAAAAGAAAGAAAACCTCGTAGTCCAAATAGAAAATTAGAAAATCTTCTCAGTTATCCGACGGCATTGTGGGGTCAAGACTCTTTCTCTATCAAAACTCCGGCATAGAAAATGATTAACTTTTCAAATTAATTTTTTATGGAAAAGGCTTTTCCAAGCACTTCCAGAAAAATTCATTTTAAGTTCTTGAGTGTCCTGATGGAGCTCATTATATCAAGATTTTTTAAAGCCTCTAAAATGCCGCTGGTGTTTCAACGTAATTTCTTTCTCCCGACAATTTAAAGATTCCACATCAAAAATGAAAAGAAAAAGCAACACCTCATTTGATTTCCCAATTTTTCTTTTTTCCGAATTGAAATAATTCTTCAAAAAATAGTCACACAGAAAAAGAACTGAAATATTAAAAAAATAACAACAAACTATTTGTATATTAAACTAAAAATTAAACGACAACCAACACATTTCGCCTCATCTTCCTCTCCCTCTCTCTTCTCACAACATTTTTCTCAAACTGTAAAATTATTAAAAAAAAAAAACAAAAACAGAATTCACAAAAATCACAAAAAAAATATAATTTGTAAAATGTGTGATAAAAAATGTTAATTATATTTCATAATTATTATATGATTATTACTATATATAATGAAAAACAAAAAAAAACAAAACAAAAATACAACAAAAAACGATAAAACAAACTACACTTATTATTATAACTATTATTAATTATTATTATTATTATTATTATTATTATTATTATTATTATTATTATTATTATTATTGGATATAATTTTATTTTTGTTAATTGTAATTTAGTAGTTTTTCGAAAACGACAAACCACAACAACAACAAATCTATGTTTGTAAGTCTTTTTTATATATTTGATTTTATTTGAATTCGAATAAAAAAACTTTATGACGTGTAAAATAACTTATGTTTAAAAACACAAAACAAGAAAAAAATTGAAAATATTTTGTCTTTTGATTTTTTAAACACAAACAAAAAGAAAACCTGGAAAAAGTGAAGAAAAGCACCGATTTTTAGGGATATTACACAGAGAATTTTGAAAAACATTGGGTGTGGGAAAACTTTATATTTTCCAAATGAGAAATTTTGGATTTGAATTTTGTGAAACGTAAAATAATAGGAAAAATGGAAAAACGTAAAAAAATTATGGAAAATTTCACTTATTAATGATTTTAAAGAGGGTATTGAGAAACAATATTAACTGAGGAAGAATTCTATTTTCCGATGTAAGAAATATATCGGAAGTAATCTAAGAATTTGCAGTCAGATCATGATTACAATGCCTGATAATAATTTTAAATTTTGAGAAAAAAGAAAACCTTTGGAAAGGGTTGAAATTATTTTTAACTCATATAAAATACAACAAAAATTATGAAAAATATTTGTAGGAATCTCCTCGAAATTTTGATACATGTTCACAGTTTTATTATTACTATATATTTTTATTATTACTATACTATATTTCGGGGGAAATTTCGTTTCAAATTGAAAAGGATAAATCCGATTGAATGTCTTTCTAAATAATAAATTTTCGACTTTATGATTAAAAAATACAATGATGTTGATTGCGGAGACAGGAAACCTAAATACTTTTTTCCGATGTTTAGTTAAATTTGGAGGAGACTATTAACGGAAATTTTTATCTGGCTTAACTCATGCTAGTCAATACTTTATATTTTAATTTAATTTTTTGCCTTTAAACAGAAATCCTAGTTGAGTTTCACCATAAATTTTTGATCGTTAAGCTCGTCTCGAAGGAGAAATAAAAAAAAGTTTAAGATATTTAGATTTTGAAGTAATTATTTGTAGGAAAATTGTTTAGGCAGAGAATTATACATCCAATGTTAGGATTATGTTTAAAATCGGAAAGACTGTGATGTCCTCAGGAACTAAAAGAATGTGAATTAAGACCAATAAATTCTAGTAGTCATCCCAGTTTAATTTTAATATTATTCAGGCTCAACGATATAGCTAAATTTTCTAAGTTTTTGATATTTTTCATCAAAAAATATTTCTTAATTATTTTTTATTTAAAAGTAAATAGCATCTATCGCCGGCGTGGACAGAAAGCATATCGAAACTTTTTTTGAGAAAATATCTACAATTTAATCAATTCGGTGGGGAACATGCCTCCATGTTGCACAGTTCAGCTTCAAGATTCTGAATCTAATTAAAATATAATATTAAACAAGTAAGAAAGCTTTTATATTAGGGTATACGACGAAGTGGACCTGCATAGGCAACTTTTGTCATAAGCCATAATAATATTCAAATGCGAAACTTAAATAAATCGGTGAATTATGTAGCTAGAATCATAAATATAGGGAGGTAGTATTATATGGGGGCTATACCAAAATGTGGACCTGCACAAACACTTTTCTGTCATATGCTGTAGTATCCATTACGAATTTCAAATACCAAATTTGAAACAATTCCGGTGAATAATGTCGCTAAAATCATCAAAATACCGAATATCAGGACATACCGTTATATGGGGGCTATACCAAAACGTGGACCTACATGGCCCATTTTCAATACCAAAAGTTCTGCAGACATAATATACATTTGAGTATAATTTTGGCAACCTACTTCATTTCGTTCGGAAGCTAGAGTAATTTCCACAGACGGACGGACGTCGCTAAATCGACATAGATTTTTATGCTGATCAAGAATATATAAACTTTGTTTGGTCTAAAATGTATATTTCGAAGTGTTACAAACAGAATGACAAACTAGATAAAATATCATCGAATTTTCAACCTTCAAAAAATTTCTGACGTAGTCATTTTGAAACCTATTCCTGGACCATCAACTGATAAAATATAAACGTAACCACATAAAATGTGAAAAAGTCTAAACCACTTCGGAAAAGTCTAAACCACTTCGGTGAATGAGTATTCCGGGCCAAAAACACACGACTTTTTCATTATGTATTTCTAATTTATGTATTGAATTCTGTTGTAAAAATATTAAAATTAAATTGAAATCAGATTCATTCACTTTCTTTTGAGTTGTCAAATGGTACAAAATAACGAAATTGTCAGCAAAATTTAAAAGAAAATCCACAACATCTCAGGCTCCATCCAAAATTAAAAAAATTCATTCCAAAAAAAAGTCAGAAGAATATAACATCGCACGATAATTGCGACATGTATATAATACCCTCAACACATAGTGTTGCAGGGCGTAGAAAAACTTTAGAAAATTAACAATTCAAAATTGTAAGTCAAATTGAAAAAATCGCATGCGATAAAAATATGACAAAATTGAAAAAATGTAACAAAAATATTTTTATTGTCTGGCAAGAGACCATTCTGAATTGATGAGAATTCTGTCCAGCGGTTTTTGGATTATAAGCAGTATAACTAAGATCTATTTATTTTACATACATATATACAACAACCCATTATGGTTCACGTACTACCCAATTAGATTTCAGTCATTACAATCATTTCGGCTAGAGAAAGATGAACTACAAAATTTTTAATTGACAATAGGAGGCTTATGTCAAGCCTTGACTCTATATTGAAAAATGTTTGTAGAGCCTATACAATCCCAACATTTCCAATTACGGCCCGCCCATTCGGTTAGGGATAAATGGTATTTTTGTATTGAGGATATATCAAATTATAAACCTGGTTTGGAGATTTTTTATTCACACAACCTGAAATCTTGAAAATACTAAACTTTGGATACCTAGACGTAGATCGATTTATACTGTTTCCATTCTAAATATCCTAGGAGTAATATCAATGTCTTCACAATGTTTCATAGCTCTACCTTAGATATAACGGGTTCGAAAGTGATTTCTAAAGTCGCACAGACTGGCCAGAGGGACTAAATCGGCATAGAATTTTACACTGATTAATAATATATGTACTTTATAGAGCCTGCTAAAGGACTGGAAACCCAAACCCCTCCAGCCTCTCCCTTTTGACAGAATCCTATATTAAGCAGTTTTCCATACTTAAGAATACAGAAAGTTGTACCTCATGACTTTCTGACTTATATGGGGGATGTATCGAATACTGAACCCATGTTGACATTTTTTTCGAGGGTGGCTAGACTACATGAAACTGTTTACCGCCAAATTTGTGTGAACAAATTACCGCCAATTTGTGTGAATATGGTAAATAATCCAAAATCAACAAACTATGAGTCTAATTTGTAAAATTACAACTAATTCTGTTAGAAAACACCAAAAACAAATAACGTTATGTTATTGAGAAAAATCTAGAGGAGACGTTGGCTATGTTTTTATATCCTCCACCATAGTATGGAAGTTTTACATTTCGTTTGTAAAACCTCGAAATATACATTTTAGACCCCACAAAGTATATATATTTTTGATCAGTATGAAATTGTATGTCGATTTAGCGATGTCCGTCTAAGGAAATCACTCTAGCTTCCGAACGAATTGAAGTAGATTGATAAAATAGCCCCCATATAACGGTACCTGCCGATATTTGGTATTTTGATGATTTTTGCGACATTATTCATCGGAATTGTTTCAAATTTGGTATTTGAAGTTCGAAATGGATGCTA